TCATTTTCACACATTAAAGCTGTGTTCATACAAATTAGGTTTAAGAAGCTGTTTTTGTTTGTTTTGTTTTGGTTTTCTTAATATAAGGTTGAAATGACTAAAACACTCTCATATTTTCAGCTTGCATTTCTCATGAATAAAAGGCTGTACAGCTACTCAACTCATAACTGCAGATCGGACGTATTATGGAAATTATGGACAAACTCAAATTGCCTTTAATAAAACAATACATGACCTTATGTATACAGTTGGAAATATGTCTTACAAACCCCCTCATACTGCAATTCAATGCTCATTTGGAGCCAAGGAACAAGGCTTTATCTGAACATAAAGGGGCCACAAGGCTGGCATGGTGATGAAGTGGGTAGCACTGTTACCACACACATTGGAGACTGGGGTCTGAATCTCTGCTCCAAGTGTCGTTCTGGGGTTTTCTCTAGGTTTCCCCCCACAATCCCAAAACATTTTAACTGCAATTTGTTACAGTTAACTGATTATAGGGCACATTTCCACTGCACCAGGTACCATACTTTTGGTACTTCAAAAAGTACCAAAAATATGGTACTTCTTTGTTTTGGCTTTCCATTGGTGTGAAAACTGGTACCATTGTGGAATGACATTCACAGAGGCGGGGTATTTTGTACTGAATTCGAAAAAAATGGCTAAAGTATAGTACAGCTTTGGGTAATGTGCAATATTAATACCAACACTGCAAGTTATGTACATGCAATTATTGCATGGCAAGGACCACGATAGTGTGATGACCGGGTGTCGGCGAGCGGGGAATCAGGCGAGAGAGCCGAGAACACTATCAAACGGGGTTTATTGAGGGCGGACAGGAGAAAGGGGAGCACACTGCAAACTCATGTTAAGGACAGACCTGGGGAAACAGACTTGAACGTGGACTAAATACACAAGACAAGCAGAAAATAATAGGCAACAGGTGATTACGATTGGGGTAATATGCGTAGGTAATGAGGGAGCGTGGCACACACGAGGATCGTACGAGCAGGTCATGACAGAACCCCCCCCCCAAAGGCGCACACTCCGGGCACGCCCCAGGGGAGGCGACGGACAAGACGAGACCGGGAAAACAGAACCTGAAAAACAAGAGCAAAAACATCAACGGGACACAGGGAACAAAACCGAAACACAGAACAGGCACAGGGGCAGAAACCAAGACAGAACCTGACAAAGGACAGGAAACGCAGGCAGACAAACCAAGAAGGGAGACACAGAGGGAACAGAAAACGGAGGAACAACAGGGCGAGGAGTGAACATGGGAGACACTGAGGGACGAGGAGCAAAGACAGGAGGGACAAAGGGACCAGGAGGGAACGGAGGAGGCACAGAGGGACGAGGAGCAGAGACAGGAAGCAGAAAGGCAAATGGAGGAGGAATCAGGGGAGCCCGAGGGAACCCCAGTGGGCGAAAGGCGGCAGCCGGAGGAGCCACGGGCGACCAAGTGGCCGAAGCCGGAGGGCCCCCGGGCGACTGCGAGGCAGGAGCCAGAGGGGACAACAACGGGGCAGAGGAGGAAGCTGGAGGGACCAACGGAGGGGCAGAGAAGGAAGCTGGAGGGGGCACCAGCGAAGGCGAGGAGGGAGCAGAAGGGGAACATGGCGACGGCAAGGAGGGAGGGTAAGCCGCAGCAGGCGACGGCGCAACCACAGCACGCGAAGGCGCCGGCCACGAAGCGGAGTGGGGTGATCTGCAGGCGAACGACGAGTTGGAGCGGGAGAACCCACAGGCGGCCACCGAGGCGTCAGAGGCGGGACCACAGCTGGCCGACGAGGGAACGACGGGGGACCCACAGGCGACCGCCGAGCAGGAGCCCGGGGAACCACAGGCAAGCTGGGGGCAGGGCGGGCGGGACCCGACCCCTGCACCTAAGTCCTCTCCCTTTCCAGGACACCGACAGGCAGGGTTCCAGTCAGGATCGACCGTGCCAGGGCGGGGGAAGAGGAGTCATTAGGGAGGTCCCCAAGGGGTCCCACTCTAGCTCTTCCTCCTCCAAGGAGGAAGGAGTGGTGGTCGAACTGTCTGGGACCTCCTCAGGGACTGGGACCAGTGCTGGGGGGACTGGAGCAGGGACTGGGACAGGCAGAGACTGGGCCGGGGCATCAGGCGAGGGCAGAGCCTGGAAATCAGGCGCAGGCAGAGCCGGAGCAGGAGCCAGGGCCTCAGGCGAAGCCGTAGCAGGAAGTTCGGGAGCAGCAGCGGGTGGAGCCGGCGAGACAGGCAGGACGGGCGGGGCTGCAGCAGCGGCCGCCTCAGGCAGAGCGGTGGCAGCGGGCGGGGCCGCAGCAGGGGCCACCGCGGGCGGGGCCGCAGCAGGGGCCACCGCGGGCGTAGCGGCAGCAGCAGGCAGGCGGGCCGCGGGTGTCATAACAGACGGAGGCGGAGCTGCAGCAGGAGCCTCGGACGCAGCCAGAGGCGGGGCCGCAGCAGGAGCCCCAGCCGTAGCTGAAGGCGGCGCCGTGACATCGAGCATACAGGCCGGAGCGTCAGCGGGCGAGACAGGCAGGACGGGAGTATCGGCCGCAGCAGGCAGGCGGGCTGTGGGCGTAGCAGCAGCAGCCAGTGTCGGCAGAGCCGCAGCAGGGAGCTCGGGCGGTGCAGCAGCAACCGCCGACTCTCGGCCAGCAGGGGGCGTCGCAGCAGCGACTGCCGACTCTCGGCCAGCAGGGGGCGTCGCAGCAGCGACTGCCGACTCTCGGCCAGCAGGGGGCATCGCAGCAGCGACTGCCGACTCTCGGCCAGCAGGGGGCGCCGCAGCAGCGACTACCAACTTGTGGCCAGCAGGGGGCGCCGCAGCAGCGACTGCCGACTTGTGGCCAGCAGGGGGCGCCGCAGCAGGCACCGCCTGCTGCCTAAAATGACATTATGGTGGAGACTTGAGCCCTGGTCTCAGCGGTGTAAGGCCACAGTACTAACCGCCGGATTAACCCTTATAAAAAACTAAAATGCTAAAAATACAAGCAACAGTTGGAAATTCCTCAGCAACAAAAAGAAATATGCAGAATATAAACAATGCAAAACAAAACATTAAGTCT